AAGGCACAGTTTCAGGATGAGGGGCTCACACAATCCTAGAATTTGGTGTGATTTCTAAAAAGAACCCTCCGGAGTCAAGCCTTGGGCTATTCTATGCCCATGCTTCCAGAAGTCTCTTGCCCAATTAACTCTGGAGACATTCCTTTCCAAGCATTTCCAAGGCCCCAATGTCCACAGAGAATAAAGAAGGTTCCTCACCAGGGTTCTGTGATATATGATCTAAACCCCACAGCTCTATGACTTTACCGGTGAAGCAAACTGGAAAGGCGTCACGTCTTACCAAACCAAGATACATTGCAAAAAGATGACAAAGAGCATTTATGACATCTGTAAGGAACCATCCCCTGAATCAGTGATTTAGATAGAGAAGCTCCTAAAATGTCAAGAGCTCCAAATGTACAGAGAACTTCTGAAATTCCTCTTTCCTAGATATTTTTATCTCAAAACATAGGCATGATGTTTCTCTAACATTTAACAGACCAGGTATCAGGTTACAAGTTATCCTCTCGACCAAGCGCTGACCATATGCTGTTAAAAGACTGTTGAAAAAGAAGGTACGACCCACACAACGGTGTACAAAACCCCGAGCACGCAGCCATGCTGGCTGGGAAAAGGTAACGGATACAGCAGTGACACTCCTTACAGGCTGTCTTTTTTGGTCTTCAGGTCACTTATTGAACCCCCAAGCTTATTTTCACATAAAATTTTCAATCACATTAAGAACACAATCCAGATTAGTTTTGCAACATCTTTTGAGGAAGAAACTATGCTATACAGTCACCGTAGTAGCTCATAAACGAAACGTAACTTTCAAATAAACAGTTACACCATGCTTGTTTCAGGAATGAAAAAATCGGAGTGAAACGTGAACCAAGTAGACTAAATTCAACTCTGTTCTCGTAAAAAGAAAGGAAAAAAAAAAGCTTTTGCCACAAAATATTGGAGCTTGTAGGGGTAATTATCAAAAGTAAAAAAAAAAAAAAACCCCAAAACAAAATACCCTCCAACCACAGACAGATGAGAAAAGATACAGTGTGCTGTGCTTCTGCTCTTCTGCTCAGAGCATCCCTGCAAACCCAGGAATGACTCCAGCAGCACAAACAGAAGAATCTGGGTCCAGGGGCCAATGACCCAGTGTTAGCCATAAAGGTAATGACAAGCTGCTCCTTTCTCTGCCTATTCCTGTATCTTGGAGAGTCCTGTGTTAAGGAACCAAGGAGGCAGCTTTAGTGTGTGCCAAAAGGGAAAAAAAAGAGACATTTAAAAAGCCTTGCTTCTGGAAGCAGCTACACCCTCTGCCCCCTAAGTTGGCCCCATCTTCAGCATCTCCTCACTCCCCTGTACCATCCTCAGTTTTCTTGCTACAGGCCTAGGGGTTGTGGTTCACTGTTTATTAGCCAGCCTCTGAAAAGCATAAGCAGACTGACGGTCTTTGAATTACCCAGGAACAGATTTAAAACATCTTAAGCAGGAACTGACCTGGAGGTGACTGGTGCTGGAGCCGATCTGTGGTCTTCCCTGGCCCCAAGCTCTTTTCCAAAGGTTCCCCAGGCACCAGCCGAGGCTGGCCTGCTCTGAGGGAGGCTGAGATGTCTCCTTTGGTCTCCGTGACCTTGGCAGAGGATGGTGGCTCTAATGTGTCAGCTGAGGGGGATGCAGAGACAGCACCCCGCTTTCTAGGAGGACAGTCACTAAGAGCGGCTTCCGTCTCACCAGGCAGTGAAGGGAGCCGGAGGATCCTGTGATGTTGCTGAGGGCTGGGGAGCCTTGGAGACAGAGGAAAGGAAACAGGTGGCATCAGTCTGTGTGTGCCGGACTGAGGGCATGAATTATTAAATACCACGCCAAGAGCTGCCCGTGCTGCGGGGGACGGTCTCTTCTCATCACCTCTGGGTTGTGAGGAGTCGGGGCCTGCGCTCTGGGGCAGATTCAGAAACAAGGTTTTGTGGCCACTCAGAGGCAACCCAGTTTTCCTCTTGCATCTGGTTTCTGGGAGGGTGTGGGTGGCTTTGGCACCGAAGGGGAAGCCCAGCCTTTTCCCTTCAGAGGCTTCGTTTAACTTCTCGCTCTCGATCACCTTCAGGAGGACCTTGTTCACAGCCCCCTCGGCACTGGTTGACGCCCGACAAGTGGAGGCTCTTAGTCTGGCTGACGACTGGTCCTCTGGCTGCTCTCTGCCCCACAGCCTGGAACACTGAGCCCCGGCCTCGGCTCCCGGGAGGGAGGGCAAGTCTGCTTTGGGTATAAACTCGGCTCGGGCTTCGGGACAAACGGCAATCCTTTCCTCGCCCTCGTCACATGTCTGAACCACTCTCTGCACCTGAGCAGACACGTTCTGGACCTTGGCCACCACCTTGGAAACAGGTTGCTTCCTGCAAGTCTGCTCGTCTGACTTCTCCCTCCGGCCCTTCTCTGTCTCCGGCTGCTTCTCAGGGTCCTGGTGGTCTTCAGACAAACCTATCTGCTGATGTCCCAGACTGTGAGGCCCCCTCTGTGGCCCCTGAACACCATTATCTCCTGCCTCCGTGGAGCTGTGGTCAGGAGACTGCGCTCCTCCCCCAAGCCCGGTGTCCTCAGAAGCCACTCCAAAGCCGGGCTCTGCGTCCAGTGTCCCGGGAATCTTGGGGGGACAGCTCTTGCTTCTCTGCAGGGATGTGGTAAGTGCCCCATTTGGGAACGAGCTCCCTCCTTTCTCCAGGAGACTGGGCCTGGCCTGAGGAGGAGGAAAGGAGTTGCTGGAATAGATGCGGTCCTTCCCCGTCTGAGCCGCTGACTCCTGACCCCCCTGCCCTCTGCTTCTCACCCTCTTCTGCAGAGGTGTCTGAAAGCTCTTCCTCCTCCCGCCGAACCTCCGGGGCTTTTTGTGCCCATGGGTGCTCCTCTTATTCAGAGAGCCCACGGGGGGCTCCCCCTGCCAGTCGCCAGCACCCTGGAAACAGTCGTCCTCAGGTGCCAGGCTCACCGACAGCTCGGGCAGCTTCCCCTCCTGGTTGCCCATGGTAATCCCCAGGATGTGGTCCGAGCTCAGCAGGTCGGCCAGCAGTCGCTCCCTCTCCGCTGTGAGTTTGTACAGCTCAGTCAGAATGTCCTTCGTGGGCGTCTGCTTGAAGAATATGTCGCCTGGATGTTGGTTCGGCTGCCGGCTGAGGCTGATGATGTCTGACCCCGCCCTGACTTGGTAGCAGCTATGGTATCCTTTATTGGATTTGTCTAGGGTTACAGCGCCCTTGTACGAGAAGCCTCTGACTTCCCCCCGGGGAAGACAGAAGCTGATGTAGCAGAGTTCCGTGACGGGCTTACGCAATTGGAGGGTACAGTGAGTGCCTTCCATTATGCCTAATAATTCATGCCGCCGAGATGTGGGTCTGTGGTCAGGCCTCCCGGGCTCCGGTGGTGGGGCATGTGATGGTGGGGACGCAAGGAGAGCAGCTGACGGTCATTTCCAGCCATGAGATTCCCTGTTAGAGGAACAGGGGAAGAAAGCATCTTGTCTAACAGAGTGCACACACATCACACGCCGCAATAAATCAAAGCAAAACCACCACTGAGCCTTCCTCTCTGGCTGACCTCAACCATCTCGAGACACAGGTCAAGAGGCTGATTTCAACCTCTCCCCACTCCCTCTCCAGCCCTGACCAAGAGAGCTTTCTACAGCTGAGAGAAGAGAGAGCGCTTTAACTTGAACCCCAGTACAAAAGTCCTCCTTGCCCACGTGGGGACCCAGTGCACCGTCCTAGTGCAGATTTCAGCTTCTCGAGGGCTCTGCTTATGTTCTTCTACAAAACAGAGCCATCAGACCTCCCACAACTCCTGAAGAAAAGGGGCATCTGGGATCCCTAGAAAACATGGCCCTTTTAACAACTCGTGTTTACAATACTATTTTGCAAAGATGAGTCAAGCCTTTTACTCTCCAAAAAGTACCTTCTAACATCTGATAGTACTTCCTGGGTGGTGCAGGTGGCTAATGCACTCAGCTGCTAACCAAAAGGTTGGTGGTTCGAGTCCACCCAGAGGTGCCTTGGAAGTCAGCCCCTGAAAACCCAGTGGAGCACAGTTCTACTTCGACACCAACGGAGTTGTCACGAGCTGGAACTGACTCGATGGCAATTAGTTTAACATCTGGTATTAATTATCTGTTTAACTTAAAGCACAATGGGAGGGAAAGGTATTAGGCTAGAAAACTGGAGTCTCTTTTGAACACAACTCATATATTCACTTTGAGCTACAAGTGATCACTGGAAAGGCCCCAAATAACTAACTCATTAGGAGTCCTAATCAAGATTTTCGTTTGTTTGTTTTCTACTTCCTGTCTCTGAGGACAAATGGAATGGCACACGAAAAGCAAAAATCTGCAAGTCACTACTAGCCTTGTGTGCGTTTTCAATGACTTCAACACAGAAGTGGCTGAAATGACATGGAAGCAGTGAAGGTGGACGCTCCCTCGTGTGACGTGAGGGATATCAGGAAAAGTCTCCACGGCCTCAAATATTAGCATCCCTTCACACAAATATGGGGCTTAGAATTCTATATTTTAAAATATTTGATTTTTCTTAGCTCAAGTGGATACATGAGAATAAATGGGCAGCTTCTGTCCGGAGGTGAGATGAGAAGGCAGAGAGGGTCAGGAGCTGGTTGAATGGACACGGGAAATCAGGGGTGGAAAGGAGGAGTGTGCTGTCACAGTATAGAGAGAGCAACTAGGGTCACATAACAATGTATGTATAAATTTTTGTATGGGAGACTGACTTGAACTGTAAACTTTCCCTTAAACTAAAACAATAAACAAAAATAGAAAATATTTGATTTTTTAAATTAAGGTATTACCCAGTCTTCAAGACTAGCTTACTTAAAAGAAATCCCGTTAGGAAGGGTAACACAATAATCATTTATCAATCATCGATATGTTTGGTGAATTATTTTCCTCAGGTCTTTCATAACTGGTTCTAAATAGGAAAAAGCTACAATAAAAGAAAATTTTTAAGCGGAGGAAGACAAAATGAAGGGAAAGTTTTGCAGTAAACACTCCTTGAAAAACACAGAAGAAACTAAGAGTGATAAAATAAAGGTAAAAAATGGAGACATGTGGTCAACCCAGAAGTGTCTGGAAGAATCAGAGTGCCCTTAGAAGGGAAGAAGCACACAAGATGGGAGGCCAGTACAGTGTCCACCTCTTTTTCAAAATTTTCTAAGCAGCTGTTATTCACGGAGCCCTGGCAGCACAGTAGTTAAGTACTGGGCTGCTAACCAAAAGGTTGGCAGTTTGAATCCACCAGCCACTCCTTGGACACCATATGGGGCAGCTCTACTCTGTCCTATAGAGTCGCTATGAGTTGGAATCAACTCAACAGCAATGGGTTTAATGGGTTATTCTCATTCGCCTGATCTTATTTCTAAAACCTTTCTAAAATGTTCATTGCTGGCCTTTCCTAAAGATGGACACGTATATAGATACTTAGTAGTTAGCTGGCACAAACTCTCTGGATATATCCAAGAACTCGCTTGGGATAGGTTTTTTTTTTTTTAATTTTTTATTATATATTTATAACAACTAGTTATAAAAGCAATTACCAAGTTGGCCAGCATCCACTGTACACCATTCTGAGCACTAAGCATCAGGAGTCAATCTATGAATGCTTGGGAAAACTGAAGGGCGCTGCAGAAGTCCTATTCTGAGAAACATAAAGGTAAGAGATACCTTCTCTGTCTTCAAGCATCATTCTCCTCCTCGTTCTCCTTGCCTCCTCAGACTCCCTGGATTAGGAGAAGTGTGTGGTGTGTGGTTCACACCGTGATTTCAAATCGGAATATGACTGCTTATTCTAAAAGCTTCATTCCCTAAGACAGGAAACTCTTACACGTTGAGCACATATCTATGTATACCTTCATGCTGTTATCTTATGTAATCAGCAGATATCCCTCTTAGATGAGAAAACTGGAATTCAGGGACATCAAGAATTTATCCAAGGCCATATGGCTTGGAAGAAGCGAGTTCCAAACCTAGGTCTGTGTCACTCCAGTGCTTCCCAGATTTACTCACCCACTGCCTTCTACTGACGAAGCTGCTTTTCATCAGGTTTTCAAGGAAATCTGAGCAAAAGAGTTTCCTGTATTTTGCTAACTCGGCGTGACTCATACAATTTCTCAACCTTGTCTCTCACTGTGTTGCCTTTACCAGTCACTGGATAGTTGCAGCATATCTGATCCGATAAAGTGCTGCTCCCCAAGGCTGCCCCTTCAACAATATAATCCAGGGCGAGGGCACTAGAAATTCATGTCTCTGGAAGTGAAAACTGCCTGTGTCTGTCAAGTGGAACCCAAATAAGATTTTAATTCAGAAATTAAGGGGAGGGGACTTTCATGTGAAAGCTATATTCATTGCGAGAGATGGTTATGCCAAGCCTGTGGTGCTGTACTACAGGGTTAAGCACTTTTTCTCCTGGTCTTTATAGTTCTTGGTTACTTAAATGGAGAAAATGTTATGGTTAGTACTCTGCATATTAGTTATGGCTGAGAAACTAAAGTCAAGGTTTAGGAAATTACAACTTTCTATTTTATAGCAATAAAGCCACTATGCAAGGCATAAAGCTACTATTAAGAACAAAAGACTTCACATTGCTGACTTTTCAGCCCAGAAACTGAGAACCAGAGGTGTATAAGAGATTCTATATCAGACATAGGCTAAGGAGTTTGAACACCCCAGGAGCCATGGGCAGCCATTAAAGAATACTAAGCAAGAATGCTGCTTAATTAGATTTGTATTATAGAAAGATTACTCCAGAATCAAACTCAAGAATAGATCAGTAGAGGAGGAGGCTGGAGATACAAACCACCCAGAAGGCCCCTTAAATAGTACAGAAAGAAGTGTTTATGGGCTGGACTAAGGCATTGATAATGTGGATGAAGAAGAGGCAATCAATTTAGGAAGAGAGAATTGATTGGATATGTGTGAGAGAGAAGAGTTCATTCCCAGGTTTCTAGATTTACGTGACTGGACAGATTATAGTGCTATTCACAAAGGTAAGAAATGCAAGATGAATTCAGTTTTGGATACCTTGAACTTGAGGTATCAGTGGAGCATCCAAGTAGACACATTGAGTAGACTGTTAGATGCAAGGAAGGAACTAGAGCTCAGGGAGGAGATCTAGACTACAGTTATACATTCAGAAGTCATCATATAATATGATGGCATTCCACTTCCAGATAAGATTACATAATCATACCCTACCCTGTCTCTCCCACTGAATATAGCTATAGAATGCATGGAGCAGCTATTAGAGTACTCTGAAAAGTAAACAGCATCAAGAGATTGATTAAAAAATAAAAAAAGACCAGAATTTGAAGTGTCAGTGTCACCCAACCGCAAAGGAGTTGAGTTTACCAATTTTTTTCTTCCAGTATCCCCCCAGTCTGGACTCAAACCAGCTGAAAATATGGAAATGACTATCAGCACAAAGAATGCTCTAGGAGAAACCCTCTAGTTCATGATCAGGAGTGAAAAAAAGGTCTCCTATCAGAAACACCAGTGGCAATGGGAGCCTGTAGACACCTAAAACTCTGAAGCAGGGAATTCCTCTTTGATCAGAGGAGGTGTACTCCCAGTAGGGTAGGGGAGAATCTTCACAAATCTTCACTGCTTTCTTTTCTCTCTCTGTTGTCGCACTGCTCGGCCTTGGATATAGGCACACTTGCAAAAAGTATGCAGCAGAACAAAACAAAGAAAGTTCCAGCTGTCTGGTGAGAAGACTGAAAAGCAGAGCTCCAGGAAGCCCAAAAGTATAGAGGAAATTTCAGAGAGGGAGGCGCTTAGAAAGTGACACCATACAGATGTTTAGGAACTCCTGGGTTCACTCCCTACCTGTGCATATGTAGATCTGGTCCTAAACAGAATACAAAGGATTCTATTTAGTTTGGAAACTAAACTAAGAGAGATCATTGCCCAGGCCCAAAATATAAAGTTTAGTTTGAAAATTAAACTAAGAGAGGCTATGTCCCAGGTTGCAGACTGGTCATTGGGAATCACATGCATGGGACAGAACCAAAGAGCCTTTCAAAGGCTTTGAAAACCAAAAGAAGGCTCATTGGAACTTGTGGTCTGAACCAAACTATCTGTCTCCTAAAAATAAATCAACATTGTTCACAGAATTTAAACAATACCCAGAGTCTTATAATACAGGTAGTCGACTACAACATATACAAGTTACAATGAACCTTACACAACTGTCTGGTGTTTTTGTTTTTTTGTACATTTTTTTTGTTAGTAATACGCTGTAGCATGTAATTTGCTGACGTTATCATTCTCAGAAGTTCACTTGAAGATGTTCGATTTTATGATTTAGTGTTCAAAACACTGCCATATTTATAAAGAAACTGATAATAAAAGGCAGTAATACTAAAAACTAAAAATAAAATGAGGTATTCAGCTTACATCAGAACCAACTTATGATG